ATGGCCGAGGCCGCAGCCGCCGCCCGGCCGCCGCCGGACCTGGACACCGATGACTGTCTCCGCGAGTACCGGCACCTCTTCAGCCCCGACATCTTGGCGTGAGTGCCGCGGCGCTGGGGGGTCCGGGGCGTCCGCTGGGGGCGCCGGGTGAGGGTGCCGCGGTCTAGGGGGCACGGCCTCTCCCTCCAGCGGCCTTGGCTCTGACTGTCCCTCTGTTCCCCCAGGGGCCAGGTGGCGTTCATCACCGGCGGCGGTTCGGGCATCGGCTTCCGCATCGCCGAGATCTTCATGAGGTGCGAGAGCCTGGCGAGGCGGCCGTGCTCGGGGTAGCATTGCCCGGCCTCTTCGGGCGCCGGTGGGGCGGGCGGCGGTAAAAGCCCCCCCTTCCCTTGTGGGTTTGTGGTAACGGGGCCTGGAAGAGGTGGGGTGCGACGCTGGGGGCAGCGGAGTCTTCATGGGAGCCCTGGGCGGGAGATGGGGCAGCCCATGGGGGTGAGGGAGGCCGAGGCTGGCCCTGTCACAGGGCTGGGGCAGGTCTCTAGTCTGCTGTGACTCTCCTCTTTGAGTCTTGCAAGCCTGGAGGAGCAGCAATTCCTTCCCTGTAAGGGCGTTGTGCCACCTCCCGCCGGCTGAGCTCCTGGTAATTCCCAGAGGTCCGAGATGACTGTGAGGAGCCGGGCCTGTGTGGTCCTCACCAGCCCCTTCTTTGCAGGCATGGCTGCCGGACGGTCATTGCAAGCAGGAACCTGCAGCGAGTGTCAGAGGTGAGTCTGTGGGTTCCACAGGACAGGCAGGTAGAAGGGAGAGCTGTGAACGCCTGGAAATCCTTCTGCTCTGTTCTAAGTGGGGCTGGGAGTAGTGGAACAGCAGAAACGGCTTACCAGTGCTGCCCTGTTTTCTCTTAAGTGCTTCAGCACCAGGAGGCAGTGGTGATGGGCAGGATGGGTGCAGGTTTAGGGAGGGCTGCACCCACTACACCTCACGGTGGAGCTCAGTTAGTTAATTGTGGAACTTGCGACCTTCACCCATCAGCTTTGGGAGTACCTGTTCTAGATACCGCGTTGTCTTTCTGTGGGAGATAAAAAGAAACAAACTGGTGAATGTTTGTCAGCATGGAAGTGACAAAGTCCAGGGTTAAACTTAAATCTCAGCTTCGAGTGGTACAGGACCCCCTCGTCCAAGGGTTATGTGGGTTGAGGTGGGTACACTGAGGCTCAGAATCTCAGTTATCTTGTGTTTTGAGGCAGAGGGGAGGATGCAGGTCTGGAAAGAGGTGACTGAGGAAGCTGTACGACACTGGCTACCCTGCAGATGGCTGAGTAGAACAACCCCCCACCTCTGTGTGTCTGACCCGCGCTGGAGTTTGGCTGCTCACAGCTTCTGTTTCTCTCTGTGACTTGTGCTGCAGTCTCAGGCTGAAAGCAGATGGGAGGGAGCTTTGTGGTAGCTGTGTGTGGACTTCACTGAAATATAATAAAGATCAAACCAGCGTTTGGGAGTGAGCTGGCGTGACCCAGCTGCCTCCCGGAGGTGTTGGTGCTGTCATTTCACATTTTGCCCAGGCTTTTGATGCTCATTGTATGTGTGTGCTAGTTGGGGCTCAAAGCTTCTCACAGAAGGGCCTGATGAGCCCAAGCAGGAATGTGGAGCATTGCTGGGTGTTGTGCAGGGTTGCTGCTGAGTTTGCAGATCCCCTGTGCTTAATTTGCTGGGGGGAGTCATGTTCTTAATTAGCACCTTGGGGGCGGCTTGTGGCATATGCTGAGCCTCAGAACTGGCCCACTCTGCCTCACGGGCAGAGCCTGGCAACTGCTGGTCCACGTTTGCCCTTTTGCCTACTGATGCTTTTTGGATCTAAAGGTCAATTATGCCTGAGCTTATGCCAGAATTGCCTTGTTAGGGTTCAGCCTTTGTACTTGCCCTGTAGAGATGTTGCTTAGGATGTGCTGTGATGATGACAGGCCAAGGACATAACTGGGCTTAGGGAGTTGTGGCCTCGGGGCTAGCCTGGCATTTGGTTGGGACATGATGTGCAGGAGCTTTGCTTTAACTGCAGGGTGCTGCCAGGCTGAAGCTGGCTGGGTTTAGGCAGGTCTCTCTCCTGCCCATGCTGTTTGCTGTGTGCTAACAGGGATTCTCAGCTCCTGCCTGACTTCTTGCTCACCTGTTACAAGGTCTGGGTCTAGTCCTTGCTGAAGGAGAAAGTTCAAGAAAGAATCTCAAGTCTCTCTTTTTTTTTTTTTTTTCCCTCTAGGCCTCAAAAAAACTGGTGGCAGCCACAGGCCAGCAGTGCCTGCCCCTGTCCGTAGATGTCAGGCAGCCCCAAACCATTGTGGCAGCAGTGGATGAGGCACTGAAAGAGTTCAAGCGAATTGACATCCTCATTAATGGTGAGCTGCTGGAGCAGCCAGGGGGAAGATTTGGCACAGGCTCACTGCTAGGAAGGGCATTCATTTTCCTGCACGGAGATTGTGTTTGCCTAGTATCTGGCTTCTGCTGCTTTGGCCTGGGAGTGTGGGGGCAGCCCCTGGGAGTGCAGAGGGGACGGGCTTAGAGGAAGCAGAGACTCCTCTGTGGTACGTGGCCACCTGTGCTTGCCTGGGTGTGGATCATCCTGGCCCCCACTGCACCAACACCCTCCTGCTCTCAGGCTGGTGGTGCTGCTGGGCACCCAGAGCCACAAGCTGTTTATCCCCTTATCAGGGCTGTTTCCAAGTGCTCTCCAGGCTACCTAGACAATATCATTCAATGTCCCTCTTGCAGAAGTGCCCTGAACCTGCCTGATCTTTCCTGGTCCGCTTCTGACTATGCTCGTGACTGCTTGTTCTTCAGGTGCTGCAGGAAACTTTCTGTGCCCAGCCAGTGCCCTCTCCTTCAATGCCTTCAAGACAGTGATAGATATCGACACCCTTGGCACCTTCAACACCTCCAAAGTCCTCTTTGAGAAATATTTCCGGGTAAGTGGAACCAGAACCAGAGGACTCAGTGGAGAGGCTCCTGGTAGGCAGGGAGTTAGTGTCAAACCAACCGCACTTTGCTCCTGAGAAATGCAGGGAAGTGTGGAGGGCAGAAGAGAGCAAGCACAGCACCCGTGTACCCTGGGCTGTGCTGCCAGGCCTCTGCCACCCACCCTGCTCAGATCTAGTCTGTTCCCTCCCAAGGATGGCAGCCACTGTGCAGGAACTGGGAATCCTGCCTGTCCCTAGCCCTGGGGCTTCTGACTGTTGTGGCACCTTTCCATGCCCTGCCACCTGCCACCCTCCTGGCCCAGCTTTCTTGTCCCACCACTCCTTTATGTGACCCCTGGTCCCTGTCTAATGCCACATCTCCTTTCCTTCCCCAGGACCATGGTGGGGTCATCGTTAACATCACGGCAACCCTGAGCTACCGAGGGCAGGCCCTCCAGGTGCATGCTGGTACTGCTAAGGCTGCCATAGGTACCTAAATGCTCCTTGGTGGGGCTTTGTGAGCTGTGCGGGGCCAGTTAGGAAGCTGGTTCTTCCCAAATATTGGAGTGGGAAGCTGTCCTTGAGAGAGGCGAATATGAGTTGGGGTGGTTACTGCATGCCTGGATTTTGAACAATGCTTTTCTCTCCCCCGGGGCTCTTCTAGGGCCCTTTGCTCTTGGCCAGAGTCTCTGTGGCTTTTTGTCACCCCCCACTACCCCCAAAAAAGTTATTGGAATGGCTCTGCTCTCTCTTTCTCATTCCTGTTGTAATCCTTTCCCAGATGCCATGACCCGTCACCTTGCTGTGGAGTGGGGACCCAACAACATCCGAGTGAACAGCTTGGCACCAGGCCCCATTACAGGCACCGAGGGCTACCGGCGGCTGGGTGAGGCAACCTGAGGCTGCTGCCTCTGTCTTGGCAGTGGCTTGCTGGGCTCTCTCGGGGAGGGGACTGTGATGGGCCACCAGTGCCATGCAGCTCATGGAGCATGTGATGTGATTAGGGCCGTTGCTGCTATGCACGGCTGTTCTGTGACTCGGCCAGCACGTCTCTTGGGGGGAGCAGCCCTTTCCACATCCTCAGTACCTTGCACAGCACTGATTTTTCTCTGTTGAGTGGCAGCTTTTTGTGCTCTCTGATGACTTGATGCAACGTACTCCCCCAAAGCTCAGCCTGGCCAGCTGCCTTGCCTGATGACTTAGCTTTTGCAGTCCAGCAGCAGAGTGCTGGTTCAGCTTTGGAGGCTGGGAAAGGTCTCTGAGGTCCCGTCTTGAACTCACTTGCAATACAAATCTCACTGCTGGGCTTGAGCTCCCAGGCTCATTTAACTCTCAGGCCTTTGTCCGTGGGTTGTCCCCAGGGCTGTGCCATGATCTCATCTAGGTTCCCTGGGGCTCTCAGCAAGCCCTATGCGAGCAGTGCTGCAGTGTCATCCGGCGGTCAGTGGTGAGGGGCAGGTGGTCCCGCAGTCCTAGCTGACTCTTTCTTCTACCACTCTTAGGTGGGAAATTTGCCGAGGAAGCAAGTCAGTTCGACACCATCCCCCTCCAGCGCGCAGGGAACAAGACAGAGATCGCCCACAGCACACTGTACCTGGCGAGCCCCCTCTCCTCCTACGTGACGGGCACCACCCTGGTCGTGGATGGCGGGAGCTGGCTGACCTCTGCCAACAACTTCCCCGCCTTGCTGGGTATTGCTTCATCCTCTGCTAAACTCTAGGTGACGTGCATTTCCCCCTCCGTGGGATTAGAGCAGGGCTCATCTCAGAAACCCTGTTGCCCCGTGGCAATGGGGTGTGGCTGCTGTAGCAGAGGGTATGGCGTCACCTTCTTCAAGTGCCTTGGGCACCTCGTAGCTGTACCAGGCTCTGCCCTGCCGGTAGTGGCTGTGTGGCCTGTACTACCTTGGGGAGGAGGAGGCAGATGCTGGGTGTTGGGGTCTCAACTGGGCAATGCTTGTTCTCAAACCTTCCTCTCTTTTAGAAAGGTGGAGTAGGGTCACTGCCACGCTGTAGTCAGAGCAGGCACAGAGCAACGTGGAGACCGTCTCATGGGCAGTGTTAGGAATGACTTGGGAAGGGCAGAACTTACTGGGTCTTTTCTCTGAGCCTGTGGTTGACGTGGTATCTCTTGTCCCTGCTGGAAGATGCTTGTCTGGACACCTCTGAGCATCCCCCAAAGCGATGTGATGCCCCTTTTCTGTGCCAGCATGATTGGGTACAGAGTCCTGACAGCTTCTGCCTCCCGTCTTCCTTGCACAAGTTACTGCAGCATGGCTTGTGTTGCGGTTGAATTGCACGTGGGACTCACATTGCCTGCGTGTGTCTGTGGAGGCAGGAAGGGAGCTGGGGCCTGGTTATGGGCCATGGCACTTTCAGGGAGCCCTTCTCCCCCTGCTTGGGTCCTGTCTGGCAGCCTCTGTGAGCAGGGCAGGCCTGTGTACCCACCCCCGTGCTGTCTTGCAGATTTCTGGGCTGCAGGAACAAACAAAAATCAATGATGGACAGCCTGGGATTGACCGATGGACAGAAACGTGACCGAACGCTGCTGCTCTGGGACATCTCGGGGCGACGTCTCCCAGAGTCGGAGCTGATAGCTGCCGCCTCCGATCAGCCACTGGTGGTGGTGATGCTGCCGATCCCACGTCCACCTGGGGGAGGGAGCACTGGGGGTGCAGGGTGGGAGCAAGCCACCCCACCCCCCAAGTCTGTGCCATGACTTCCTTCTGCACCGGTGTGGCTGAGGGCACAGGGACAGCGCAGGGCTGTGATGTTCACTGTCCATTTGTGTCTCCCTCTGTGTTGTTCTCCCGGCCTTTCCTGAGTCCAAGGCAGTGCTGCCCATGGATACCATCCTCTTCCTCCTCTCTTACCCATCTCAGCCTGAGAGCTGCCCAAACCCCCCAGCAGCAGCTCCTTTTTGGTAGCAGGGAGTAGTTAAGCTCCTCTGGGGTTGATATCAGCCTTCATGCTGGGGCCAGCTCTGCCCTGGCAGCTCTTGGAAGGGAAACAAGGGCCAAGCTGGCCCCTGGCAGGGGAAATGGTCCTGTACCCTCCCGGGGGGACTGGCATGGGACAGCAGTGCCCAGGGGCCGAGGCAGATGCATCTGGGATGTCGTTCGAGGTCACATCCCACCAGAGCTGGCGCTCTGCTGCGGGGCCATAGCCCTGGATCTGCTGAGAGCCTGAGATGTCCAGTTGTCTGTCCAGCACCCATCTGTCTGTCACACCAGTCTCATGCTGTCTTTTGTATGGACACTACAGCTGAGGGTAAATCAAGGGCTAGCTGAAATTCAGTCTTTCCCAAGCAGGGTCCTGAGCAGAGGGGCTGCAGGGTCTGCACTGGCTCTGCCCAGCGCTGCTGGAGCCAAGCCCATCCTCAGGGACACCCACTGCTCACCTGCAGCAGCCTCCTGCTGCTGGTGGCACTTTTAAGTTTATCCTGAATTCCATGAAGCTTGTTTTCCTTCCTGATTGCATTTCCTCCTTGATTGTAGGCTTGACAGGTTTTGTTCCTTGCTCCGGGCCACAAATAAAGAACTGCCACCCTGAGCTGTGACACCCCTCATCTGTTTGCCTGTGTGGGGGTGGATCCTGCAGCCCCTGACTGCCCGGAGCTCGGGAAGGAGCTTGTGCTCCTCGTGCTCCTCATCCTCCCGTGAGCTGGCAGTGGTGGGAGCTGTCAGAGGTGAAGTCACATTTCTGGTCGGAGCATCACTGCAGTATCTTGCTGCTGCATGAGCAAAGCCTGTGCTTGGCCAAACCCACTGGGCCTGGTGGTCTGGATTGGGCCCTGAGGGAGGGTGGAGGGGCCACGTATTTAACTGTCTTGTTTAACCACAACCAAGTGAGTCCACAGTGACTGTGTCTGCATGTAGTAACAGATGTGATTCCTCCTGGAGGCGTTGCTTTAGCTTCACCCCTGGCAGCCCCTCAGTGAGTGGGGGGGCACAGAGACATGTCACAGGCTCTGGGGGGGGACATCTGTCATTTGTGCTGTGACATGGTGACACTGGGTGGAGTTGGAGGGAGAGCCCTGCACTCACAGGGAGCGGGGTGAGGCTTCCACCCTCCATGCAGCAAGAAGAGATGCACAAAGAAGGGCGCTGCAGGAGAGCCAGCCCCAGAGCTGCTGCCAAGCCCGGACTGTGCCACGGTGCTCCAGGCTCGGGGCTGAGCTGGGCTCCTGGCCCGCCTGGCGTGGGTGCCGCCCGGTGCGCTGAGGAGGGAGCCAAGCAGGGCTGCCTGCGTTGCCTGCCCGCGCGTGGAAACCGCCGTGGTGGCCACAGCCTGAGCGGAGGCTGGGGGTGCCGGGCGGAGAGCGAGCTCCTGCGCGGGGGCTCAGGGCTGTCCTGGCTCTGCGGCCACTGTGGGAAGGGGGAACGTGGCAGCTGGGCCGTGCACCTCCCCAAGCCTGCCTCGGGCTTGTCTCTCCAGCCCGGCGGGTGTGTTAACCCCTGCCCAGCCTGGGCAGCAGTGAGTGCAGGCAGGAAGCCTGCTCCCTTGGGCTCTGGAAATGGAGGAATTGTAACGCTGAGGGGATTTTGCAGGGGACAGTTTAGGTAGATGTCTCCTAGGGGGGCAGCCGGGAGCTTTCTGCCTGTGGGGCTGACAAACGAGCCGCCTCCCGCCCCCATGAGCTTTGGGGATGGCTGTGATGAGAAAAAGGATTTGGAGCAGAGGTTTCAATCCTTCCCAGCACCAGCCTGATGGGACAGGGAGTTTTCTTCTTCCTGTCCACAGATGCTGCTGAAATCAGGCTTTTGGGGATGAATGTGCTGGGGCTCTCCAGCTTTGGGAAAGCCATGCTGGGGGACACTTCATGCCCCAACCAGGCTTGTCCTGAGATGCCCCCCACATCCCTCCCCTGGGCAGCCTGGCGATGTGGGGTGCTGGGAAGGGTGCTGCGGCTAGGGACACTCTTGCTTATCACATTTGTTGCTAATTATGCCCAGGAGTTGTAATTCCATCCGCCTGGATGGGTGCATTAGCAGGGTCACCCCAGTGTGTCCTGCGGGGCTGGTGGTGGCCCAATGGCCGAGGCAGTGCGGGAGTGAGCGGAGGAGAGCGTTGCGGCTGTGGGCACGGGCAGCCCAGGGACCTGCCCGCACCCCTGCCCAGGAGACGAAGGTGCAGACACTGCCCGGGCCCCACTGACATGTGCGTGTGTGAGTACAGAGATGGCCGGTGCACCCAGCCTGCAGGCTGTAAACCCCTAAACTTGTTAATTAATTCATCAGGACGACGATTAGGTCTGTGCAGGCAGTGCGAGGGCACGGGGCCTGTTTCCACGCCGCAGACGCTGGTGGCGGCTGGTCGTGCTGCGGTGGCCGAGGCCGGGCACAAGCGGTGTTTGGTGATGCCAAACTCCCATAACGGGCTGGAAATGTCGATATATCTGGGGGTTTGTGCCCGTGACCGGCGGCCGTGCCGGCCGAGGGGGTGCGGGGGGTCTGAGGGGGTGCTCGGCTGGGCTCGTGTGGTGTGGGGGGGACACAAAGGGCGCGGGGGGCTGGCGGGATGCACGGGGCAGGGTGGTG